GTCCCTCTCTGTCTCTCTGAGCTGATGACAGACTCTTCACTTCCCTGTCCCGTCCACTCCCAATGTCCCCGTGTCACCGCCCTCTCTCCCACCCTCCCACGTGCCCAGCAGTAAGTGGGCAGAAAGCACATGGGCTCCGGGGTCTGGTCCCAGCCTGCTCCCTGTCTGGCCGTGCGGGTTTGGGCCGGCCCTCAGCCTTCCCGACCTTGAATCTCCTCGCCTGTGAGATGAGGTCCCCCACATCTTGGGCAAACAAGTGAATGAGATAAGCAGTGGAGGGGTGACAGGGCTGGAGCCTGGGACGTGCTGGGCACTCGGTGCACGTCCGCTTCTCGCTTCCCCTTCTTCCCACCCAGCTCATCCGGCCGCCCGGCCCGGGTCCCCCTCCTTCAAACCACTCGCCTCTCTCTGTACCCGTGGCCGGGCTTCTGAAAGAAAGCGCCCGCCGCCAGCACCCCTCTCCCTCGCCCGCCCCTCCCCTGCGTCCAGAGCACAGTGCAGAGTGTGCTGCATTGATCTCCATCTCCTTCCACGTCCTCCTCTCCTGGCCACTGCAGCGAGCCCGCTAGCCACCCCACCGCCGGCCACTTTAAACCACGCCCACACGTGGCTTCCGGGGTATCCTCAGTGCCCGGCGCACCTCCAGGCTGCCACGGTCCCCCTCAGTCCGGGCTGGGAGTGGGGTGCAGGTGGCCCGGGTGTGGGCGTCGTGGACTTCTGCACATCTCCACCTGGACAAGGTGGCTGGGCCGAGCCGCCACCTTCGGTCTTTGAACAGGGGAGCTGACCGACCAGGGCACAGATAACAAAAGATAATTACAAGGAAATCGTTCTTTGCTGATGAATCAGTTGTTACTTTACTTTCTCTGAGGCAACAGATTTTAGTTTCATAAGAATAGTGTAAACAATGCAGCAGTTGACTTAGTGTGCCTGGGTTTGCTTCTGGGAAGCATGAATGGTTTGTTTTCAAGACGTGACGTTGCACCCAGAAATTTCAGACTGAGGTAGAATTAAAATCAAGTGCGAAGCCAACCTGTGAAGCCCCGTCTCGCCTACCCGCTGAGTGCGTGACCCTTTGTAAAGAGAGAATGGCAATACGTATTTCTCGTGGTTCCTGAGGACACAGGAAAACACTCTAAATTTTCCTTAAAAAATATTTTTGAATAGTAATACACTTACATAGTTCGTGCTTCAAATAGTGTAGAAAGAAACATAGGGACCCTCTTCTTCCACCTGCTTCCCGTCCTGCAGTTCCCACCCCTCTGCGAAGGAACATCACTGTCATCAGTTACCCTTCTAAGGATGTCTCGTGTGCGTAGGTAGCGGCACGAGGGTGTGAGCTGTCCAACCCCTTCGTGTATACAGATAGTAGCACACTAGACACAGTTTCTGCACCTGGCTTTGTTCGCCTCACAGTGTAACTGTCAGAACTTTCCAGTGGCACACAAATGCAAGGAATTGCTGCTATCATTTTTAAATGTTATTTTAATAATGTGAAATGGTAATTAGGAAGATTAAGTTAATTTTTCTTACAGTTTGGCGAGGAAAATAGAAGACTTTAGTATAGTGCAGCTTGAATGCCTCAATTAAAAAATAGTGCACTGAAACTACACGCTACATATTCCAAATTTCCTTAAATTTAATCTAAACACTACCTGAGCCATAAATGACTAATTAGCAAATACACTTCACATGCAAGGGATGCTGTCCCTCTGCTCTGACGCTGCACAACAAAACTGTCTTGCGTCAACAGTGCCACCTAGAGGCAGCAGGGAATCCCCACCATGTCTTCCCGACAGACCCATCCTTCGCTCATGCACACCTCAGGAATCCATGCCCTGCACACTCCCACGTGCTTCCCTTCAGTGCAGTCTCCACAGCGCAGCCAGCGTGCTCGCATAAAAATATAATTCGGATTACGGATTTTGTCGTCTCCCCACTTGCAACCTTTTAAAGGCTTCCCATTGTATGGAAAATAAAACGTAACCTCCTCACTGTCACCTGTAAGACCCTGCATCATGTAACCACTGCCTGCTTCACTGACCTCCCTTCACACCGCATTCCCTACAGCTCAGTTCACTAGGTTCGCACCACGCCGGCCCTCGCCCTAGTCTTCATTCCCACCTCAGGACCCGTGCACCGTACGCTCCCTCTGCCGGAA